TCCAATACTGTACGAAACTTTCGGTTTGTAAACATTTCTGCTGGTGTTTTTCCTCCAAGTGCTTGTGATGGAGTAGTGCGGTAGTGCTTCAAGAACTGTTGCACATTCCTTTTGACAGGTCCATCATTTTGCATCTTGTTTAAAGTCCTTTTAAAAGTGTCCACCATTCTTTCGGCTCGACCATTACTTTGTGGGTGGTAGGGTGCCGAAAAAGTTTTCTTGATGCCATGTGTTTCGCAGAAATCCGCGAAGTCCTTTGCAGTGAACTGAGTTCCGTTATCTGTAACCAGTTCTTCCGGGAGTCCATGTTGAGTGAAAATATTATCGAAAACTTCGATTGTATTTTCTGTGGTGATTTTTCTCATTGGAATTATCTCTGGCCAATTAGAGTAGGAGTCAACAATGATGAGATAGTAGGTACCGTTGATGGGTCCTGCGAAATCTGCATGAATTCTGATCCAGGGTCCCGATGGTTTCTTCCATGGCGCCAGAGGGACTTTGGTTGGATTCTTGCTGGCGAGTTGGCAGTCGTCACACTGTCTTACGAAGTCGGTGATCTCCTTGTCGATGTTTGGCCAATATACGTATGAACGTGCCAGGGCCTTCATACGATTTTCTCCGGGATGTCCGTTGTGTAGTGTTGAGAGAACTTGTTGTCTCAGCGATTTGGGAACTACAACTCTATCGCGAAACATTATGATATCGTCTACGATAGTCAGTTCACTTTTCCTGGAGTATAGTGGATACAATGGATCATTCTGATCTACTTTTGGCCACTTCTCCAATATGAAGCGTTTTGCTCGTTCGAGTACAAAATCTGCTTTAGTTTCAGTTTTTACTTCTCGTCTTGTGATCGGAAGTTTAGAAATATCTTCGTCGATCGTGTCATCGATGTCGAGTTCAACACCTGCAATGACTTTGTCTGGAAGTTCGTTGCTTCCGTCGAGGTTTTCTTGCTGTCCAGCGATCAAGCGCGACAATCCGTCGGCTTCTCCAAAGCTTGTGGTTGATTTATAGTTTATCGTAAACTGATAATCTAATAGAATCACTGCCCATCGTTGGAGTCTATTGGCAGAATGTGCCGAAATACCATTTTTCGAACCAAAGATCGTGAGTAATGGTTTATGATCGGTGTTCAATATGAAATGTCTGCCATATATGAACTTGTGAAACTTCCTGACGGCGAAGACGAGTGCTAGAGCCTCCTTTTCGATTTGGCTGTATTTTCTTTCTGTTCCCGAGAGTGATCTGGATATATGCATCACAGCTTTCAGTGTTTTCTCTGGAGTTTCGTGCATCAAAACCGCTCCAATGCCGTTTTGACTTGCATCAGCACTGACGATT